TTTGGTTCAGTACAGGGTATTCTGACTGATGTCTAAGGCATGTCAATGGTTTCCGCTAGATGGGTCCCCAGACGGTTAACGGACGACCAGAAACGGACCAGGCTTGATATTTCAAGATATATTCTGTTTCGCTACGAGGATGAACCTGATTTTATCTACCGGATCGTAACTTAGGATAAAACATGGGTCCATCACTTCGATCCTGAATCCAAAAAACAGAGCATGCAGTGGAAGCACCCTGGCTCATCCCCTCCGAAGAAATTCAAGAGGGTGCCATCAGCAGGGAAGATGATGGCTTCAATTTTTTGGGATAGTCAGGGGATAATCATGATTGACTATCTTGAGCAAGGTCGTACCATAAACGGTACGTACTATGCAGACGAATTGAGACGTCTGCGTCAAGAAATCGCGCGTAAAAGGAGGGGCAAACTGACTCAAGGCGTTCTGCTCCTGCACGACAATGCGCCAGCTCACACATCCCAAGTTGCGATGGCTGCTGCAACTGACTGCGGCTTTGAAATTCTTCCCCATCCACCATATTCTCCGGACTTGGTCCCCTCTGACTTCTACCTGTTTCCAAATCTGAAAACCAAGCTTCGTGGTAGACGTTTTGGAAGCGTGTCATTGGAGGCGGTCAATGAGTTCTTTGAGGACCAAAATAGAGAGTTCTATTTTGAAGGATTTAACAAGTTGGAGCACAGGTGGGCAAAGTGCATTGATTTAGAGTGCGATTATATTGAAAAGTAAGACCATTAGTTGGGTTTCTGACTACCGGAAATACATCGGGCCAAGAACTTTTTGCTCAATTGTTTATACAAATAATACCAAAAATAAGAAGATGCAAAATAATGTTTTATTCTTAGTTTATATTTTATATCAATCTTAATAAACATTTAAGATTTAATTATGAACAAAAACAGATATTTTAAAACAGTCACATTTTTAGGAACGAGTCTCAGACATATTCTTTTGTATTAGATATTTTGAAATGTAAGGGAAGTAATTACGAATCAAAAGCATTTAAATCTTTTAAGAGTATTGCATCCTGTTTCTTACGTCTTACTATTTTCATTTACTTTACTGACAGATTTATTGTTGACTAATGCCAATATTAATTCATAAGTGTATATACCAAAATGTGACTATGAGCTATAATGGCTTTGTCAATTGTGTATTGTGAGATTTATGAAAGAATAAAGCATCTTCTATCACTATCATATTTTGATGTGTTATAATAATGTTACAGGTATGACTTTGACGCCTACGACCACGATGTATAGATATTGTGATGTGTTATTATTATGTTGCAGGTATGAGTTTGACGACAACGACCACGATGTATAGATATTGAGATGTGTTATAATTATGATACAGGTATGACTTTGACGACAACGACCACGATGTATAGATATTGTGATGTGTTATTATTATGTTGCAGGTATGAGTTTGACGACAACGACCACGATGTATAGATATTGTGATGTGTTATTATTATGTTGCAGGTATGAGTTTGACGACAACGACCACGATGTATAGATATTGTGATGTGTTATTATTATGTTGCAGGTATGAGTTTGACGACAACGACCACGATGTGTATTATGATGTGTTATATTAATTTTACAGGCATGACTTTGATCACAACGAACACAATTTGTAGTGAGATGTGTTATAATTATGTTACATGTATGACTTTGACGACTACGACCACGGTGTCTATTAAGATGTATAATAATGTTACAGGTTGACTTTGACGCCAACGGCCACGATGTGTATTGAGATAAGTTATAATTAGGTTACAAGTATGACTTTGACGACTTCGACCTCGATGATTGTGTATTGTGATGTGTTATTATTATGTTACAGGTATGATTTTAACGACTACGACCACGATGTATATTGTGATGAGTTATAATTAGGTTACAAGTATGAATTTGACGACTTCGACCACGATGATTGTGTATTGTGATGTTAATAATTATGATACAGATTGATTTTGACGACTACGACCAGGATTTGTATTGTAATATGTTATTTTAATTTTACAGGTATTACTTTGAAGACTACGGCCACAATGTTTATTGTGATGTGTTATAATTATGTAACATTTATGATTTTGATGACAACGACAACGATGATTGTGCATGTGATGTGTCATTATTAGGTTACAGGTATGATTTTGATGACAACGACCACGATGATTGTGTATTTGGATGTGTTATAATTAGGTTACAGGTATGACTTTGATGACAACGACCACGATGTGTATTGAGATAAGTTATAATTAGGTTACAGGTATGACTTTGACGACTTCGACCACGATGACTGTGTATTGTGATGTGTTATAATTAGGTTACAGGTATGACTTTGATGACAACGACCACGATGTGTATTGAGATAAGTTATAATTAGGTTACAGGTATGACTTTGACGACTTCGACCACGATGACTGTGTATTGTAATGTGTTATAATTAGGTTACAGGTTTGACTTTGACGACTACGACCACGATGTGTATTGTGATGTGTTATAATAATGATACAGGTATGACCACGATTTGTATTGTGTTATGTGCATAAAGATGTTTTCTAATAATGTTACATGTATGACTTTGACGACTACGCTGTATATAGTGTTGTGTTATAATAATGTTCTAGGTATGAATTTGACGCCTACGACCACAACGTTTATTGAGATGTGTTAAAATTATGTAACAGGTATGCCTTTTACGACTACAGCTACGATGTATATTGAGATGTGTTATTATTCTGCTAAAGGTATGACTTTGACATGTTTGATTTCGAGCATGGCTACAAAGACAACGTATACGACCATGTCTACGACTTTTATGATAAACTCTAGGAACACGTAAATAAATAGTACAACGAATACGTATATATACGGCATCTAATAGTCTCCTTTTCTGATAGTTAACTGTTAATAACATCCCTACTTAAATTGAAGACTGCATGTTAAGGAATCTTTTCGTTAATGATCGAACATGCTTTTTTATGGCCAAAGTAAACTTGACCTTTGATCTACTGACCAGAAAATCATTAAGGGCCATTTTTTTAGTGACGATCAATATTCATAATAAAAACAAAATTATAGAATAATAATTCACTGTAATAATGACTTTAATTTTGTCACCAGGTGTCAGCTAAATCCGTATAGAATAATTTTTTTGAGGTAGATGCTCATATCCATCAGATACAGCTTTCATCAGCTGTACCTGCATAAGTATTATATATACATCAGACAGGCTACTCACTATAAGCTGCAAAACTCTCTTTGAAATGGACATACTAGTAATTCTTTTAACTTGCTTTGCTAAAATTTGCTTCAATTTCATCTGATCATTGATCGTAACTGAATTGTGTAAAAGTGCAAACATTCTAAACAAATAATTATATGAAATCAATTACACATAAATGCCCGCTTTTTTACTTTTTAACTTTAGTTCATATTTCTCGGAAGATAAATATTATACGGAAGACAACCCAATCATGTTTACATTTCAACCATGTGTGAGTTACAGCTCAATTTAGATGATTATAGAGTGACGCTGTGGCAAGGCAAGACAATTAGTAAAACTCGAACTTGTGACAAAATATTTGAACGCAAGGAATCACGACTACTTTACGAAGTTCACCACCCTGACATTTAACATTAAGGTTCAAACGTACTGTTATATTTGATTATGTGAGTCCCGTTTTACCCTTTCAGTCGAAGGTTGAAGACTCTTGTGTACACATAAATTGAAACCTCACTCTCACATTATCATAGACAAACAATATCTAAGAATGAAAGGGTTATATTCTCCGCTGCTCCCACAAGTCTTTAAGATATTATTTTAAAAACTTACGGTTAAGCGTAATGACGATTTTTCAGCTAGCTCGTTATTGAATTTGATGCTTGAAGATAAATGAAATTAAAGATAGATGAAAAATCAATTTGTTTAATTCTTAAAGGTTTTCTTTTCTTTTCAAATAAAATTACTTCAAATGGGATCATGAAAGTTTGCTCACACAGATCTAAGAGAAGAATTCAAGACTATCTCGTATGCAAAAGATGATGTGTCGAAAGATAGGTCTATATTACGAGTTTTATCATAAATTAAATTACTTAATTATGTATATCTATAGATTGACCTCTTTTGTGATTTCGTTTATACTTCATAATTCTATAAATTGTATTCATTTTCATAGTCACAATTTGAATAGATACCAGGTTTCTTTTAACAAACATGAATAAACATTCTACAATATTGCAAAGTAATAGTGACTTTGACCTTGTGATCCCAACATCGATTGGGGTCTTCTGCCCAATATAGACAATCATCCTATGAAGTTAGAACACTGTGGACTAAATGGAACTTAAGTTTTGCTCCGGAAACTGTTTTCAGTTTTAAGATAATAGTAACCTTAACCTTTCACCTTGTGACCCCAAAACCAATAGGCGTCTTCTACCCAATATGGACAATCATCCTATGAAGTTTGAACACTGTGGGGCAAATGGGACTTAAGTTATGCTCCGGTTTTAAGGTCACAGTGACCTTGACCTTTGACCTTGTGATCCCAAAATCATTAGGGGTCTTCTACCTAATATGAACAATCATCCTATGAAGTTTGAACACTGTGGGGCAAATGGGACTTAAGTTATACTCTGGAAACTGTTTTCAGTTTTAAGGTCATAGTAACCTTGACCTTGTGACCCCAAAATCAATAGGGGTCTTCTACCCAATATGGGCAATCATCCTATGAAGTTTGAACACTGTGGGCCAAATGGGACTTGAGTTATGCTCTAGAAACTGTTTTCAGTTTTAAGGTCATAGTGACCTTGACCTACTAGCCCATAAACCCTTTGATCACGGAATGAACCTATTGTTCTCTTTACTGTTATATAGCCCCTAAACCCAAAATGTTTGCTCGGACGGACGGACAGACGGACGGACGCCAGGGGGTATAACATAATATGCCCGAAATTCTTTCGGGCATATAATTATGAAAAACAAAACATTTGAATACATGTAGTTTATTTACCCCTGTGCTGAATATGTTCCCTCTGTAGAAAGTGAAAACATGTGTTTTATAATAATGTAATAAGAACATATAAGATGCTTAGCATCTGAAAAAATAGGTTGAATGGAAAATAATTTATGATAAAGACAAAATGATTATGTGACTTCCATACAAAATACTAAATCTTTATAACTGTACTAATTGCAAAAATGCAAAAGAAGCAAAGATTGCCAAGCTATGAGGACATTTAGTACTTTTTGGACACTGTAACACAACATTAATATTATATTAAGTTTTGAAAAATCAAAATATTTACATACATGTATTTACATTATTCTACACTTAATTTGCCTTTACATAAGTAAATGCTGTTTGTTTTATAATTACGTGGTAAAATGTAAGTCATTCATCCTGATGAAGATTCAATAGAACGGGAACCAGTAGAGAATAAGTAACCTCAGCCAGCTCTGGTATGTTGTATTTCTCCATTTTCCTCTTATTTGTCTGTCTAATATAACACATTAGTTAATCATCAACAAATCAAAAGCGGGAGTAATATGGTAAAAACAGACATTGTCAAAATATTACCTAATTCCTGTTCATATCCTAATTCCATATGTTTATATAATAACTTGGAACAATGAAAGGATGACAAACGAAGTACATCTTAAAATCAAACATGTCTGTGAAATGTGATGATCAAAGAACTAAATATGAACGTTTAGTGTCAAGTTCATATCTTTGGTGTGATTACATTAAACAACGCTAAAAAGATGAAACACATATACACATTCTTTCTATTTTCTATGTAGGTTTTCTGATACACTGTTTTCCCCATATCATTTGTAACATAATTGGTGATAACTGATGAGCTGTAATCAACTTGTCTCCTTTATATACACATGGATCCAACTTTGGTCGACCTGCATTATATCCAGGCATAGCTTGAAGTTTGAAGCCTAATTTCCTGATACATAGTGAAACATACACATCCTCTAAATGAAAGAAAGGAACACTTGGTGATATCAAATATACTTCTTTTGCCACATGCATGCTTGTGACGTAACCCGTCCCTGAACAAAACCCTGGGTAGAATTTATCCGGGTAGCTGTCCTCGGAGGCGAACCATTTCGATTTTTGGCTTCGAATTGGTCTGGCTTTTGAGTTGCATGCACCCATAACAGATGTCTGTAGTTTTTCTTTATTTGTATCTGTTAACATTTTCAAAAGATTTGAAATATTTACAAACATATCATCATCGGTTTTCATGACGTAAAGAGCTGTCTGACAAAAAACTGTTGCCCACTTAAAACCCATAATTGTTTTGTAAGTTAAGTTCATGTATGTGTCAATGAAATCTTCCTTTATAATATCATGGTGAATATTATTTTCCTCTAGGACAGCTTCTTTTTGCCATTTATCAGTGATTTCACCTAGGAGAAAGGCGTATCTCACATTGCCTTTATTGTGTTTCGTCACAGACAACCATGTTGATCTTAGTGCCGCTCTTGCTCTATTGTTTTTGTGTGTCGTCATGATGAGGATTAATAATTCTATTGTTTGATTTGTAGAATATAACTGACATATATTTTTGTTTTGTATCACGTAATTGAAGTTGTGCTCGAAACATGAGGTACAATTATGTTGTCGTGTTTTAGTTTTCGTGTTTGCTTTATTTCCGTATTTGTTGACAATATCATTCTTTTCTACTTTTTCTGGTATTTTCTTGACGTCATTTCCATATCCTCTTGTTTTGTTTAAAGTATTATCATCAAGTTTGGGGGCGTCAACCTCCGAGTGATTCGATTTATTCCCATTTCTTTCTTGATGATTTCTAACAATTTCTTTTACTGAATCGACACTTAGTTGTTTTTCTCGCGCTGTTAAGTTCTTGTGAAACGAGTTTAATTTTTCGTCTGTAAACTGAAAAAGTACGGAATGTTCGTCTTGCTGCCTTTTGTTTTCTTTAGCAGGGATGGATTTTAAAGAGAAAGTTCCGTTAAGAGAATCAGCCGATGATAGATTAACGATACTGTTTAGAACGTCAATCACATTACTTCTCATCTTGATTGACATATCAACAATCACTGACATTCGTGCAGACGACAACATCATGTTAAAGCTAACATAAATTATCAGTCCTATAAACGTCAAAACAATAAGTTTTATAGATATTTTCCCAAATGAACATGTGGATTTTCTCTTTTTCACAGGTAGTGGGCTCATCACGATGAAGTTAGTTGGTACTTTGTATGGCATTTATATTACTCCTCTATGAAACATCTTCAACCTCCAGATCATTCTGAAAAAAATAAAAGATGATATATAAATATCTTAAGTCAAAACCATAGCAAAGAGATCAATAGCCCAGATGTGTAGCAAATTATCCGGAAAACGATTGTTTATTTTGACTTTTCATTAATTCAGTAGTGACATCTGTCAATTAATGAAATACATGAAGTATGTTTAAAAAAAGATACTTGGTGGAAGTAAATCTGTTTTTACTTGCAAAAGTATTTCAAAAAATATTATACACTTTGCATTTTTATATTCAATAACAAATGTTAAATATTTGTAAATCTTAACTAGAAAGCGAAAGAACTTAACACTGTAAAAAACTTTAGGAAGAAAGTTCGTTTGGTTAATTAAAGCTTAAACTATTGCAAAAAATCCTACATATATTGTTTTACTTATGATTTAATTCCTAGATTACAGTTTCTAATTTTGAAATGACTAAATGATTAATTTACAATTATCTATGTAAACCATCGTTGAGTCAATATATATTTGTAAATATTATGTCAAATAAAAGCCTTATATATCTGTTTTCACAGTTAATACCACATATGATTATGTATTAACAGCCCAATCTATTTGATAAGGGGAATAGAATAGCGTGAAGCGTGTTAGAATGAATAATACCGATTCTATTGGATCCACACACAAAAACATATGAGCCGCGTGACGACAAAACCAACATTGTGCGTTTGCGACCAGCATGGATCCAGATCAGCCTGCGCATCCGCGCAGTCTAATCGGGACCCATGCTGTTCGCTTACCAACTCTATTACAAGTAGAGAAACTGATAGCGAACAGCATGGATCCTGATCAGACTGCGCGGATGCGCAGGCTGGTCTGGATCCATACTGATCGCAAACACACTTTGTTGGTTTTGTCGTGACGCGGCTCATATATTAGCGTCGGGAAGCGCCTTGTTCAATAAAGCTGTGCACTGCGCCCAATATAATTCAGTATTGAATTAAAAATGTATACATGTAATATAGCCTCATTATCAGCCGACACTTATGTTTTGAAGCTAGCCTATGTACGAGTCCGATAGAATCAGATTTTTTTTATTTATAAAACGCTTCACGCTATGGGTTCAAAACCGAGAAGAGTAAACTTTTTTTCTTATTTTTTCTTTCTTTTAACATCTTTTATTATCTCTGATGTCCCTTTTCGTGAGAAAAACGTGTTTAATTTTAATTATCTAGTAAATATAGGTACATGTTTTAATGACTAAATAACGCTAAATCTAATAACAAATATGGTACCTGATATTTTTAAAGTGTAATAAAATCACAACTACACAGTAAAATATTTAGTATTTTACAAAATCAACCAATATTCTTTTAAGAAAATTAAGGGAAACTTTGAAAACAGGTACTCATTTTGGTAAATTTTATGGATTTTTTTAATTAGGCATTCTTAAGTAGGAAATTGGTCAAACACGTGTTAAATATGGGTAGGGTGTTTCCGTCAGGTAACATTTTTAGACATATTTCATAAATTTTGAATAGAAACAATCGTTTTGCTTATGTGGACTGTTAGCTGGGTGTTAGTATTTTTCATACGGATTATATTGTAGATTATTTAAAGGTTCCTTAATTCTGAAATAGGACCCTCGTAACATTAAAACTTAAGTTCGGAAAAGAGGCCATAACTCGATTGCCGTACGGTAAAGCTTGTTTGAATTTTGCATACAGGTGTCCTTTAATGAATATATCTGATCTATGATGTAATTTTTTTCAGATCCTTATAGTGCCCGTTTGTACGGAAGAGCATTAGTGCCAGGTGTATGTCTTTTATTAACTCGAAATTTACTAACTCGAAATTTCGAGTTACTTATCTCGAAATTTCGAGTTACTAACTCGAAATTTCGACATACTAACTCGAAATTTCGAGTTACTTATCTGGAAACTTCGACTTAGTAACTCGAAGTTTCGACTTAGTATCTCGAAATTTCGACTTATTAACATTACTAGAATGGCCAAAGTTATTAGTTAGATAATATAAGATATAGTAGGGAGTGCGGTTGAACGATGGAGATGGAGAAACGGGAGCCTGAAAAACTATTAAAGTTAAACTTAAACTTAGTAATTGCATGTACACACCCTACCTAAAAAAACACACAAGGCTTCCTTTAATTTGTACGTTCAGGCGTTCTTCAGACGTTGTATTGTATCCCACCTGTTCGAACATATCTTTTCACTAATCATATTTTTCTCATCCCTGTGAATAAAACGATCCTATACTTCACGTGTGGGACATCTGAGGAAAGTATCGCGGAGAGGCCAAAATAGGGGTGCTGAGGCCTTTGTCAAATTTGTTGGACTGACTATATTTCTAGAAAAATCGGATGCTTTTATATTATTCCCAACATGTATATAAAACAAGTTATACTTTTATCAACTTTTATCAACACAATCAAAGTTTTAGTAAATAATGAATAATGTTACAAAAACATTATAAGTATAAAGAAACGCGAGACTGGCGTTAACACGCCATTTAAAACTTATTTAACACATGAATATTGTACAGTTTACAATAAGATGGGTTTTGGACTTGTATCTCCACATGATGGTTGTATGTGTGCTTTAGAAAAAGAAACATCCGGTTAACACGGAAATGTGGAAAGTGTGATTTTACAACCCCCCCCCCCCACCCCCTGCCCCACAAAAAAACGAAGGATATGTTCAGTATGTGTGGATTAAATTTGACCCTATTAAATTGTTCTGTTAAATAAATGTTAAAGGTGCTCTGTCAATGTGCAACAGCTACACACGAAAGAAAGTATCTTGAATTCAATCCTTGTTTTCACCGACAACCAATGAAAGTCGTGCAATGTAAGTCGAAATTTCGAGTTACTAAGTCGAATTTCGAGTTACTAAGTCGAAATTTCGAGTAACTAAGTCGAAATTGTGAGTTAGTAAGTCGAAATTTCGAGTTAACAAAAAACATACACCTGGCACTAATGCTCTTCCGTACGTTTGGGTGGTCATACCTTAAAATAATTGCCGCATTGCACTACAGTTCACTTATGTGAAAATGAATTCCATCAAAAAAAACATCATTGATTATTTGAAAAAGATAAACTTGTATTCTAGGATCTAAATGGCTCATTTTCATTGTCATTTACAGAGTTTAACATAACATTTTAAGCCTATTAAAGCATTCGGCACGATATGGCCAGTTATGTGTTGACGTGCTGTAAAAATCCAAACAAACAAACAAAAAATGTGAAAATGGGTATAACTATATGAGGATGGAATAATTAATGTAGCGCAATAACAAGGGCGAGCTAATTGGCTCCCGATGAAAAACCAATGTTTAGCTGTAAAGTCAGTAAAGCTGCAACTAGCTTGAAACCCTAGCTCTATTCTGAATAGGTCACTACCTGTAAATGCATATTTATCACCAGGAACTGAGTCAGCTCTTTAAATCGCTGCTTTACAAACACATCTCATATCTCTAAACATGCATTGTATCATTAATCCAAAAATCCAAAAGCCGACACTAAGTTGTTTAACACAACATGTAACTATTTTGAATTAAATTCAGCACAAAGATCCAAAAATAGAACGATTAATCCTTTGTTTGATTTTCACAATACAGGTACCACAAAGAAGAAATAGTGATTCCATTGAATACATGTACACATAGATGATTCAGCTGGCTTGACAGGTTATTGAAAAACCAATTACACAGATAAACGTGAAGTCATGAAATATGCACCACATGTATACCCGAGATACACGATTCCACACACACTCTGGAGAGAAAAGTTCTTTTACTCTACTTCAGTAACAGTGTGCATATGTGAGAGATCATATTACAAAATCACTGGTGCGTGCTTCTTGAGTAAGAAACACTGTATGTTACGAGTTATCTGAAGTTACCTGGGATATTTCATGTATAATTATAATCATTTTACATGAGAGTATTTTAATGTTTAACAAACTTTCAAGAGAAATGATGATTATGTTACGATGTATTTTAATAAACTATTAAAATAATTATTATAACACTAAACGCAATTGCATATGTGATGGTTAATTAATGTCATAATAAAAGTATGTGTCTGTATATACCCCCTCTTCCCGATCGTACGTGATAATTTTATGTGGTCAACTGTTCATAGAAATAGTATCAATACTGGCAACCTATTTTACTTATCTGTTCACACTTGTTATTTTTCTTTCTTTTTTCTTTATATTAAAAAACATATGTTAATTCTATAATATTATTATAATCAGTATAAACGTTTACAAGAGATAACCAGTCTGACCAGATTCAATATAGACAGGTTGTGTTGTATATAACCAGGTACGTATATTAACCCGATATTACATATTTATTATATTATATATATATATTTTATTATATTTATATATATATATGTATATATGTATGTATTCTTATAAATGAAATATTGAGAAAACTTGATAACATAAAATGCGTTTTTTCATTTTCCGTATTTTTTGATGTAAAAAAATAATTTTCATTGCAGCGAAGCATATTTTCCGTATTTTCATAAAATCAGCCAATACACACAATTTATGGGGAAGTCTTGCAGATTATTCTGACAAAAAAAGAGAGAAAAAAGTGTATAAACAATTCAAGTGTTTTTTTTTATAAATATAGGATTTATTTATTTTACTCACCAATCATGAAATATGTATTTTACCACTCAATGAAAATAAATCCTGTATTTATAGAGAAAAAAACCTTAGATATCCTACATATACTGGAGGTATTTTATACTGGAATAATGGGCTGTTAGAAATCCAGCAAATTAGGAGTTAATAATGCGATAACAAGATATCTGTTATAACATTTACAGATGGTTGAAATACAAAAGTACCAACAATGCACGACCGATTGATTGATCTCGTTCACAGAAACATTAATATTTCATAGACTATATTGGATATGATGTGGTAAGAAACGTTCTATCTTAAGAACACAGCGCATTATTTATTCTATACAGTGATGATATCCGTATAAAACTGGTGTCCGTAAAAGACGATAAATACAAAGTTGAAAATTCCTCCGTGTTTAGTTATAATGGTATTATAGGGTGCCATATATTTAAAACACCGATAGGAGAATTTTGTCTTTGAGTTTTGCAGTTTCATTCTCCATTATGCAATTTAACCTGCTCAAAAATAGTGTAAGTAAATGATACCTTTTTGGGGTTTCATTTAGTTTCGCACGACTAAAATTTAAAAAAAAATTGCTATATTTTTAAATCTTATTGTACAGAGTAAAATATTAAGAGACAAACGTTAGTGTCAAATTACTTGAAAATAAGAATTTAGATAAAAGACTTTGAGACATAAACTCGATACTTCCACTAGCATCTCTAGGGAGAATGTCTAATTTCAGCATGACTAAGAGATACTGTTTCCATGACAACTAGGAAAATTATCAATTATCAATACACAGGTAAATTAATGATATACAGGTAAATTATATGGAGGAGACATGATCACTGTCATTAGAGAACTAAACAAGCGTATTAAACTTGTGCTTGACCTGTCTACGATCAGGAGCGAGTGTCTATGTTATATTACAGAACAATTAAGTTTCAGGGAGTAATTTGATCGATAAATGATCAATTTTATATAAAGTAAATCAACTTGTTTCATACAAGAGTTTATTTCCAAAATGCACATGTTATTTCACCCCTTTACAGCTGATCTTTTTCGCCTTATTAAGTTATTCTTGTATATTTTTTTACAAGAATCATGTATATATAGATAATCGCTCTTGTCTCAAATATTTTACTATTCTGTTATCACTCTTGTGTGAACTTTATATTTGATCACAACATTTAACACAATTTGCCCCTCCTTTTTTCATCATATTCACGAGCACAACGAGACCATTGCGTTAAAAATGCAAATCGTACATTGCATATATCTTGTATATAATTGTGTTTCAATTTGATTAATAGAATCACACTAGCTAGACAAATATCACAGAGATATGAGCCGCGTCATGACAAAACCAACATAATGTGTTTGCGACCAGCATGGATCCAGACCAGCCTGCGAATCCGCGCAGTCTGATCAGGATCCATGCTGTTCGCTATCAGTTTCTCTACTTGTTATAGGGTTTGTAAGCGAACAGCATGGATCCTGATCAGACTGCTGGTCGCAAACAACACATTATGTTGGTTTGTCGTGACACGGCTCAAATTATATCAATTAAATCTATAGAAAAAAGTTCCTAAGATGAGAATTGAAAGTGAATGTTTAAGTTCAAGTTAAGCTATGCATTTAATATCTGTTAAAATCATAGTCTCTTGTCAAAGGTATGAATGCCAGCTGTTATAATAAAAAATTTATATATATATATATATATATATATATATATATATATATATATATATATATATATATATATATATATATATATATATATATATATATATATATATATATATGCAACCTATATACATTCGAACAACCTTATAATTATATTAGTTACTCACCTACATGATGGCTACATCAATGCATCCTAACAATACATAAATGCATTGTAACATAATAGATAATGTAACAAAATAGATAATTTAGTCAATTACATTGTAGTTACATCCGGGCAATGTAAATTTAAAAATATTTTCAGCTAGATATATATAATTTGGCATAAATGAGACAAAGGAACGTTTTTATTTTTTTACTTAGAGTGCACGCGATAGCAATTACGTGGGCACACGAAAAATATTACGTGCGCACAAAGTATAAACATGACAAAGAGGGGTGGAAGGGTGCATTGGCCCCCATGGGATTTTGCTAGTATGTCAAACCTCTTTGAGAAATGGATATCAACTTACATTTTTAGTGTCAAACACGCAAAACTAGTGACAATCAAAATTTGACTAGTAACACCTCTGAAAAACTTGTAAAATGCCCAACCTCCCTCTGGAATATGCATTACACTGTGCTGAAATTGTGCGACCCCTCTGGTAAAAGGATCCGTGGCTGATAAATGCATGCTTATATATAAATAAAATAGGTACAGTAACACATGTGACACCGAATTGATTAAACCATAGCTACCGTACAACCTATCAAAATGACATAAACTTTAAAAACATGTATATGAACGCAACAAGTTCAAGAAAAAAAATAGTTCAAGATGATCTAAATGCGACATTGACACTTATAGTACTGGTGTTGAAACAGCAATAAATTTGAAAAATAAGTACAATGTATATGTCATCTTTATTATTCTTGCAATGTTGCAATTCTTTACAATTCTGTAAACTGCTCGAAATATGATTTTTCCTTATTGTGTACTAGATTTTATTCTGAAATTATTCATAACAAAATATAACTGTACTCAACTCTTTTAGTAAATTCAGAATTGAACACACATCTTTTGAATATCCCCACGTAAAAAGACATTAATAGGCGTTTTATTTTCAAATGTTTATTTTCCGCGCCAAATTATTCAATAATTAGGAAGGCACCTGATTTTTCATTATTTTAAACATTATAATAGCTTTTTGAAAAACAACCCTCTGTGAAAAGGTTATCCATCAGAGTTCAATTGGGACATTAAAACATAAAAATTATGCAAAACATAATGAGAAATACATTTAGAACTCATTTTTATGTGCGACTCCTTCTCTTCTTTGAGTTAAAATCGTTCAAACGCTTTTTTATTGTTCGATCATTTCGCACAATAAATAAGCCGCGTCATGACAAAACCAACATAATGCGTTTGCGACCAGCATGGATCCAGACCAGCCTGCGCATCCGCGTAGTCTGATCAGTAGCCATGCTGTTCGCTAACCAACCCTTTTACAAGTCGAGAAACTGATAGCGAACAGCATGTATCCTGATCAGACTGCGCGGATGCGCATGCTGGTCTGAATCCATGCTGGTCGCAAACGCATTATGTTGGTTTTGTCATGACACGGCTCAAATATCAATTATTATCTAGGGAAACGCAGTATAAGCTAATGATCTAATTTTGCACACATGCTTTTGATACAGACTTACATGATAAAATGGTACTATTACCATTAGTCCTGTTATGGCAAAACAAATCAGTTGAGTCCCTTTAACATCGACGTTTGATTTGCATGTTTAGCTGTTTATATCATTTCCTTTGTATGTGTATCAATTGAAAAGCTGAATAAAGCGACACGTATCTTGATAAATTGTGGTTGCTTCATATCACTAATGGTTCAGGCATGTCAAATCAAGTTTAACAAAGGAAAAAAACAACATAGATATGTTCTATAGTTGTGAACATTCTCGACACGCCAATGTCTATATTGCATTGCTGTTGTTCCACATACACACTGGCCATAGCTTTCGCAGAAGCGGTGGGTCTACCGGTTCGGCGATGGAGATTTCGTCGCAGAAGCGGTGGAAAAAACATGGCTGTCGGATAGTTTTTTGCTGGTGTCGGTAAGTTTATGACTTATTTGTACGTTATGTTTTTATGTTCTACTGATAACACCTAGTGAGACTGGAGCCCACATGTGTACTCTTCCAGCTTATTACACGCATGGGGTGCAAATCATGACCAGTTATGCAAACACTTCTGTACAGTTTGACGAGGGGACGCCAATTTTGCCTAATTTTGTTTATAACACTACATATGTACTCAAAACTACCCTAGATACACTGGCATCGCATCGTATGTATGATAATTACACAAAACAACCATATTTTGGAACTTTTGGAAATTGATATTACCATTTTAATAAAAGAATTGACAAAAAATGATTACAACGCAGACGGCGGTGGATTCGATTGCAACGCAGTG